TAGGGCAAGCTCCCCGACTCCGCGAACCCGCGGCCGGCTGCAGCCTCGACGCGCTTCCAAACCCCTCTGGAAAGAGGATTAGAAGGAAACTGGGTGCCGCACTTGGGGGAAGGACGCCGTGGAGACCGTGGGTCTGATTCCTCCAGAAAAATCCATGCGGCTCGCTTCCGCCTCACCCCATCGCACCCCCAATCCCACCGCCCATGTGTCCGCTCCCAAAGCTCCCTTCCAGGCTGGGTCCGGTTCAGACACATCCAGACTCCTGGGCGTGGTGCAGATCTGCGTTGTCTGTGCCCAAAACTCCCGCTCAGAAGCGACACCTGTCGCGGAGCGGGAAGGAGCCGCCGCCAGCAGCCCTGGGTTGTTAAAGGCGGAGATGGAGGCCAGAGCCCTCGGGAGCAAAGCTGCAATTTTAAATGAGCGCCTTCAGTCTCGGCTGCAGCAAGTCTTCAAGCCACTCGAAGAACGCAGAAGTTCCGTGGCCGGAGGGATTGCTGGCTCTCTAACCCTTATGGAAGGGCCAGGAAGGAAAGGACACCCTCATCTCACTGCCTGGGACATTACACGTTGGTGGAACCCACTGGAGACCCTCAGGAGCTGCCTGACTTGAGAAGCCAAAAGCAGGGGGAGGAGGTCTCTGTTCCAGTACCAAGTCACAGGTAGTAACTGAGCACCTGCCCCACACAGGCCCATGTTTACCAGTGCCCCTGCCACACTGGCATCCCCTGTCCTGGCACCTTTGGAGAACCAGGAGAGTTGAACCCACCTGGCCGAGGGCCTCCAGTGCAAGACCTCCTGGGGAGGTCACCGCAACCCAAACCACGGTGGGTCCAAGCTGCAGGCCAGAAGGTGATGAAGGGTTGGAAAGATCTGTAGCAAAGTTTCCCCTTCTTCCCATCCAAATTGCCAGCCAACCCCAAACAAAAGCTCCTCTTCATTTACTCCTGGGCAAGGGCAGGTCTGTCCAGCCTTCCGGGATTAAAGTGCAGTGTGACAGGAATCCCCTTCAAGTCCCAGATCATTTTTAAACCACGCTGTAGATAGAGATGTCGGATAGGCCCAGTGTGAGGCACCTGCAAGGGGACAGGCACAGCTGGCAGGGAGGCAGGCTGAGAGACCAGGGCCTCCCCGTGTTTAAGGCTGTATGTGCCATCACCGAGCAGCTAGCCAAGGGGAGCCCAGATCACTAGGGCTCGGGCAGAGTCTGCATACTCCCTGGGAAGGCTTCCTTGCTCTCTCCAGACCTCTCATTCCCCTAAATGGTAACCATCCAGGACAGAAAACCTAAGCACCACCAGACATGCCCACCCCTCAGTTACCAGCCCCCCAACACCTCTCTAATGGTGGGCATTAGACACTTTCATAGGTCCCATGTCCCACTGTAGAAACGCTGACTTGCAATATTTCTCGCCACTAGAGAGCCCCCCCAACACACACACCATTATCCTTGGCTCCAATTCCCAAGGCGAGGCTGAGAAAGTCAAGATATCTTTCAAGAAAGAACAGTTCCAGCTGCTTAATTTGGCAACAAATTAGAGCAGACATGTTCATCATCATCCTCGCCCTCCCCTGTTCTTCCCGATGACTGCAGCTAGGACCAAAAGCAAAGCAAAACAATACCGGAATGGTACAAACAGATGGATTTTTGACTACAGATCTCTGGTAATTTTTAAAGGAGAGCTCATTACTGTTAAACTATTAAATGTGCATTTTAATGACAATGGACCAAAAGTGCCTGATGTTAAAAGCAATCCCTAAAAAGTTGAACATTCAATAAATTCTGCAATTGCGAGAACAAGCCTATCATTAAGGTTGCAATTTCGGGAGACAAGATCCTCATGTTTGCTGATCACAGAGCTCGTAATTACACCTCAGTGACAATTCAAAAATCAAAATATTTAAAAAATACATTGGTTATAAAAGCATCAAAGAAAAAACTTTTTTTCAAGAAAAGAGTTGAAATAGCTACTCCACTCTTGGGCTACGTGAACTCTTCATACAGGCACCCTAAGTCCTGCCTGAGGACAGTTCATTCAACGTATCTCCACACTGTGGCCACCTGATGGTCCCTTTGTGACACTAGGCTTCTTAAGGGCAATGAAATGCTTGTACCTACATCCCCTCATGGCCAGCCACGCAGGTCAAAGAAAAGCAAAGATCAAAATTCTGCTTCGGTCTCCTCCGCAGCAGGAGTGAGATCACATCACTCAGGATCGCAAAGTGTCCTGTGGAATGAAGGGTCAACGCCCCCCACAGCAACTAAGAACTTTGTTGTACTTGAAGCCTTTTTCTTTTAGTGGCTGGTACAAGACTCAAACCCTGGACCTTGTTGTTATCAGCACCACGCTCTAACCCACTGAGCTAACCGGCCAGCCCTGAAGGCTGTTTCTCAGTGTGGAGGACCTTGTGCCACCTGATCCAGATCACTTGGGATTGCAGGGGAAAAGGGAGCTTCTCAAAAAGGAGTCCTGGGCCAGGGCCCTGAACCTGAACAGGTACCTGTGTGCGCCCTAAAGTAGTTATGGATGCTAATTAGAGGAACTAGCTCACTCAGCTAGTCGGCAAAGCCTCAACAGACTGTTTTTAGCTTGCCCTAAAACAGCCTAGATAAAGAATGTGGATTCTCAAATCCATCCCAAAGACAAGAAAATGGCTGGATGAGAAATTCGGTTTTTGTTCCCAGAGGTAAGTGCCATTATAGCATCATTTGAAAGGTAGCACTCCTTTCAAATGATGCTTCCTTCAGGTGGTGGCCTCCTCCTTGCAGAGATGGCAAATCTACCTCACACCAAGCCTCTTTCCTACCTCCCTCTTCCTCCAGGAAGAGAAGCAACCTCCACAGCTTTTTCCCCCATATAACACAGGCCCAGTACCATGATCCAGCCAACAACATGGGTGGGACCCTCCCCAGGCTCTCCCTCGGTGATGGGCCCACAATCCACTGCCCTGGAACCTCAGTTGTTCCCTGCCCCGGGGCTTCATACATCAGCCAGCCCAGCATTCTGTCCAAGAGTTACCTAAGGAGAGACAGTCTGTCCCTCAGTACTCCAGATCTGCAGTTGTCTCCAGTAAGGGACACACATCCTATATTTGTGCCCCTCACCAAGGGAGGGCCAGAATGCAGCTTGGCTTGCAACACTTGACAAGCTTGGTGTCAACACCAACTCCCGGGTTCCCCTGAAGTTATCAGTGACCTTAACAGAGGGACAGACCATGATCCCCTCGCTGGGTTCCTTCTCACCTTCCAAGAAATCAAGTGTCCCCTCAAAAAGCTAAGGTCTAAATATCCCAATATCTACCAATTGTCTTCAATTCCATTTGGCATGACCAAACTCCCACATGTCCCTGTGTTTCTGGCTGCCTCTACGCTGGGCACTACACGGTAAGCAAAGTCAAGACCCGTGTATCTCAGTGCTTGGCTACAAGCTGAAGAGATATGGGGATGCTATTCAAAAAACACACTTTTACCACTGCAAAAGTCACAGAAGTGGGACCGGCCCGTGGCTCACTTGGGAGAGTGTGGTGCTGATAACACCAAGGCCACGGGTTCGGATCCCATGTAGGGATGGCCAGTTGCTCACTGGGTGAGCGTGGTGCTGACAACACCAAGTCAAGGGTTAAGATCCCCTTACCGGTCATCTTTAAAAAAAAAAAAAAAAAAAAAAAGTCACAGACGTGGGATCACAGGAGGCTTCTGAAAGGAAAACATGTTAAACCTTTAGAAATGACTAGATCCTAACACTTAGGGGCATTAACCCACGTCTTATTTCCTTGGCTGCACCTACACACTCAAGGGAAAGGGGAGAGGGTGTTTGTGGAAACCAGAGTTGGCTAAGAACAAGACTACACCAACTTCCTATTTTGTGACTTTCTGAAACTCTCCAGGACCCCAATCTGCTTCTGTGCCTTGACTATTTCAGATCAGACAGGTAGGCATGAGGCAAGTCACATAGAAGGGAAAACTGGTCTAAAATGTACTTTGGACACAGACGGTGTGATAAGTGTAATGTAATTCAAGTTCAGACTACACATTCCCCATCAGAAAAAGTTATTTGCTTGTAAAGCAATTCTCCAGGATCTGGATCTGAAGGAATTCTACATGGAGAGTTCAGTTATGGCCAACTCCAGAATTTCACTGAGGCAAAACAGCACAACTAAGATGAAGGAAATGGAAATAAAAGACACTTTTTTTTCTAAGCCTAACAAAGACCAAGGTAACGTCATATGGCAATTAATCAACGAGGACAAAGTTTTTGCTACTAACCAGATTAACATGCCAGTCCTTTAAAAAAAAAAAGCCTTGCACACAACAGCAGCCATGTGTTAGCCACTTTAATATAAAATATGATAAAAACTCAATTACAAGAGTTCAAAAAGGCATAGAAAAACCAATGAGTTTCAATTTATTACAAGTTTTAAAATCTGAGACTAATTAGAAAAAAAATTATATGCTAATTTCTGCCCAGGGCTCATTTTCTTTTTTTTTTAACAATGAAACTAAAAATTACTACATGGCAACATCAATGCAACAAACAAGTAAAATCTGCAAACCCAGGTCACAAACTTATAGCTGATAATCATGGCAAGGGACACAGCCAAAGAGCAACTGATGCCTCCACTGAGTTTGAAAGAAACCCTGCCTTCTGTGAGGGCAGAGAAGAAATGTGCAAACAATTCTGCTTCAAGAAATTTGCATAGAAATAGAAAATGCTAGAGCCTTCACCACAAATGAAATTGCAAAGCCTCCACATGCTAAACTCAATCCCAGGAGCACCAAATGTTAAATTGGAGCCAAAGTAGGGCTTGGAACATTTAATTTCCAGCTATGCAACTCGCAGAGCTTAAGAATTTAGGTGTGGAAATCAGCTGTAGGCAAGCTCTTTAAAAACATGAGTTTTATACGCCATAATTGTAAAACAAGGCAGACATTTCTGCAGAATTGTTTGGATTTCAGAAGAGCACCATCAGGCATCAGGGTCTCTTTCAAAGTCACGCTTGGCAACAATTACATCTTCCTAGCCTCCCTAACAACCTTTCACAGTTCTCTAGCCTTTGCACACATTGGCACAAAATCCCAAGATGAGGCCTCGTTTTCTGCCCCAGTATCTTGCAGGCACACCTCCTTCTGTTTGCAAAATGACTTTTGACACTAAATCCAGTCATGGCCTAAGTGGCATGGAAGCAGCTATTTCCTGGGTATCTCCCATCTCCTCGGCAATCACGCCTCCTTCATGCCACCCTCCATGAAAGACACAAGAGCTCGTTACTGGGAAACACACAGGAGGCCACATCTGGAAGCTTTTATTACTCCTGTCTTCAGCTCCCTCTGCTGGAGGACAAAGTGACAGTTTGTTGCAATGACTTGTAGAAACGATTATTTACAAATTCATTTTTGTACACATTTACTTAATTTAAAACCTGGGACTTTTACAATAGCTCTCCAAGCTCTTTTATGAAAGGTAGCGGAATATGCAACAACGCTAAAGAAGCACATTTTATTTCTATAGGAAGAAAAAGAATTAGCATACATAGTCGTGTGCATTGAGTAATTTGTAATCAGAAAATGAAAATAAATGCCCCAGAAACCTGCATTTTATTGACACTGCTCTTGACTGTCACACTTTTTAAAAACAAAATAGTGACTACCCGAAGCTTGTATCTCCACACCCTTATCTACCTGCTCAAGTCAAATCGCAGTCAGTTCCCTTAGCCTTCTCTTTCTATTTTGGTATCACTACGACAAGAACAGAAATTTTCAAGAAAAAGAGTAATTACAAGTGAGTGAGTGAGTGGCGGCCTGAGTGAAGCCTTTACTACCATTTCCACTGTTCCGTCCAGTCCACACTGCAGAGATACAAGGATAAACCACCGTTTTGGTTCCCAAGTTTTATTCAAAGAACTCATACAAAATATTCCAGATAAGTGAGTTTTAATCCTCATCTTCCTCCTCTTCTTCATCCTGATTAATCTGGAAGTAACGTAATTCGTAACTCTCTTTGCTGTTAGCGACTACGCGCAACCAATCACGTAGATTATTCTTCTTCAAATATTTTTTGGTGAGATATTTCAAATACCTGCAGAGAAAGGACACTTGAGAACTGCACTGGACAGGTGGCCTTCCTGCATTCTGAAACATTTTTACTTTTATCAAACCCACACATTCAAAATCATTACAATTCAACATGTTTTTCCACCCTTCAAAAACTGCACATACAGCAAAAATACCCAGCCAATGCTCTAACATGAATAAATGTGTCAGCTGCATGTCCTCTAGGTTGGCAATTAAATTAGAACAGATTGGCCGGCCCGTGGCTCACTGGGTGAGCGTGGTGCTGGCAACACCAAGTCAAGGGTTAAGATCCCCCTACCGGTCATCTTTTAAAAAAAAAAAAAAAGAAGAAGAACAGATTAAGTAGACGTAACAGTTGTCCCTTAAACAACAACTAATACCTATAAAACGGTTTTTAGTGACCACTAGAGAAAACTATCAGTAGTAATTTGACAGGTAAGCCCATAACCTTAATACCTTTTATTGAGGAATCACCTGGTTTCCAACGAACTCCAAGTACTTCACGTCTGTCATCTCATTGATTCAAACCTCCTCTTGAGGTTGTCTCATTACCAGGGTTGCGTCTTAGGGCTGTGTTATACCTGCACTCTCCCTTCTGCCACGTGACGCTCACTACCCCAGTGCATGGGTACACAGCGCCACCCTGCCACTGTCCTCACTCCAGCAGACAGCACTCAGACTTCTAATCTGCTGCCTTACCGTGGGTGAGAGGTGAACTGTCACCACAGCAAGCTGCTCATTAGAAAACTCACTCTTTGTATAAAGGCAGGGACTGGCTTTTGTGCCCAACACCCTAACTCCATAAAGATCCCATAAGCCTGCAATTTGCTTCTTTTCTCACCTGTCTGCTTAGGAGGCCCTGAGGTTAGCTATTCCGCCTCTTCCCAAAAACTACACAGAAGAGGGAATATAACGCTACACAAACCCACTGCTGGGCAAGTTCATCTTACCAAACCTCACTTCTTCCCACTAAAAAATGGGACTCCTGAAACTTGCCATCTCCTTCAGACTGTCATGTGGACTAAACAAAATGCACAGGTAAATCCCTGGCATATCGGTAAGGACCCAAATGTTAATGAATCAACAAACTCACCATCTCCAAGAAATGAATACTGTCTTAGTGTTGCCTACGCCAACAAAACAATCTTAACAAAGATGTGAAGATCTCAGTTTATCTCTATCCACTTTCCCTACATGAAAATCAATGTGATCGTTCCATCTAAAAAGTATGCTTTCATCACTTATTATTTCTACCATGTTGCATTCAGATAAGCTGGCTTTTTTTTTTTTTTTTTAAAAAGATGACCGGTAAGGGGATCTCAACCCTTAACTTGGTGTTGTCAGCACCACGCTCACCCAGTGAGCTACTGGGCCATCCCTATATGAGATCCGAACCCGTGGCCTTAGTGTTATCAGCACCGCACTCTCCCGAGTGAGCCACAGGCCAGCCCCAGATAAGCTGTCTAATTAAAAATTTCAGGTAGCTTGAAAATTTCATAATAGAATGCTGGAGGAAAAAAATCAGGCAAAAACCTGCTGACGCTCAGAGACAAGGAAGAAAAAGCTCTAGATTAGGGACATCTTGAATGTTTCAGGAAAATAAAATTATCATCATCAAAAAAGGAAAGCTGTAATAGAAGATTAAGGGTCCTTCATTTCTCCACTGGGTAAAAAACAAAAAATCTTAGGGGCTGGCCCGTGACTCACTCGGTAGAGTGCGGTGCTGATAACTCTGAGGCCACGGATTCAGATCCCTATATCGGGATGGCCCGTTAGCTCATTTGGGAGCGCGTGGTGCTGACAACACCAAGTCAAGGGTTAAGATCCCCTTACCAGTCATCTGTTTAAAAAAAAAAATTCTGTGAAACTGAAGTAAGATGTATCAGGAGACATTTTCACCCTAGGTAAACAGGTGACAGAAAGGTTACAGAATCTTCCCCACAGACTCAGCTGAAGCCCAGCAAGCTGGATGTTTTGTTTGCCCCAGAGGCCCTAAAGTTGTATCTGTCTCTTATGCTATCAAATCTCCTTCCCTGTAAATAAATAACTCAGCCAGGCAGACCGTGCACACTTCGCATAAGCTTTAAAATTGATGTTTCACTGGTACAGTTAAAAATAAATGCAAAGGCTTGACTATAACCAGTTTGTCCCAACACAACTTAAAATTTCTCACTACTTGATTCAGTATGATTAAAAACTCCTAAGAATGTGTTAGGCCCTGGGCTAGGAGCTAGGTGTAACATGTCCAATTCTTCAGTGAGTACTGTAAAGCATTTTGACCTTATCCTCAAAACAACCATATAAAGTGGCAAGAGGCAAGTGAATTAATGTCTCCATCTTGAAAAGAAAGAAAATGGGCCCACAGTAATTAACTGGAGTGGCTTCAGTCTAAACTGAGATCTTTGGATTCTTCATCTAATGCCACAGTAGCACTTACAGGGGGAAAAAATGGAATTAAAAATGAAAGCTCTTCATTGTGATCTAGAGAAAGAGGATGCAAGACCTTCATCTTCATTTCTAAGAATACAGACTAATCAAGTCTGAGCACCTTCACTACTTGAAATACTTTAGTCTGTGAAAGACAAAATTTAAAAACAACCAAAAGTTGAATACTGTTAACTACCACAATAACATTCATTCATTCACTGCCTCCCACACTGGGCACTATTCCAGAAATTAACAGAAGCAACCACAAAACAAACTATTCGGCAGGTGGCCGTGTTCCCACCCAGGGTGAGGGTGGGCACTGGGTGCACGCTGGTCACACTCGCCTCCTTCCCGTACCTTTTGGAAAAAGGCACCTCAGAAGTCACAGTGATCTTGCTCTTGCTCCTTTCGATGGTTACGACCCCTCCACCGAGATTCCCAGCTTTTCCATTCACTTTGATTCTCTCTTGGAGAAACTGCTCCTGCAGAAATTGTCAAATTGACCAATGAGTGAAGTGACAGGTCCACCCGTCTCAAGAGAATATTTTGTTGTATTCCCAACACTGAACCAATACAGTATAGTTGTTTTTTTTAACATTTAGTCTTTTAGAAAATGATAGCAAATCTTTAGCTATTCACATAAAGTCTAAAATCTGGGAATAGCAGGTAGAAAATAGCACTCTTCAAACTTATTTACATGTATTATATACTATGAACATATCATCCTAGCATAAACATATGTGACCGCTCCCACACAAGGTCAATAGGTCAAATATACCTCTACCTGGAATGCTCAGTGGGCAACACACTCATGGGTCCAAAGCTAAACAGCAGACAGGGAAACCAAGGCCAAACTGTGCCAAGGTACACACAACTAAAGCTGCAAGCAACTTCTGAGTCTAAGGAGTATGACAGCACCGTTCTCAGCACTATGGGAGAAAGTAAGTGCTCGACCTAGCAGAAAGAGCAAGACACAGTGACCAAAAGAATTACAAGTCTGCTCCAAGCCACACACATGCTACAACAGAAGGGGCAGCCACCCCAGATCCCAGAGACAGACTCTGCAAACCCTCATGTGAGGCTGGGCGAGTCATTCTCCTCCGTGGGCTTCAGGAATCTTCATGCAAAAAGGGTTTTTTTTTGTTTTCTTGCTATTGCAATGAGGTGAAGTCCCTTTCAGCTCAAAACTCCTATAATTCTCTATTTTAAAACTCCAAAATGTTTTAACCACAGAAGAGGCAGAGAATTAGCAGGTCAGAAATCTTGACTTTTGCATCTTAAGACTCCTAAGAGACTCAAGTTTTCTACCTTAAGGAGGCTTCTAGAAGAAGGAAAGACAATCTAACACACATAGATGAGTGTATAGAGGGATTGGCTCGAACAGGAAGGGAGGCAGGGATAACGCTAGGACAGGGCCACCATGCAGATACCAAACTGGAAGAAGTCACAGAGAAAAGCAAAAAGTCACTGAACAGATAAAGAACTAAGGAGCCAACTGAGGGACTTCTTTTTTTTTTTTTTGGCAGCTGGCTGATACAGGGATCGAACCCTGGACCGTGGTGTTATCAGCACCGTGCTCCAACCAATTGACCTAACCGGCAGCCCCAGCTGAGGGACTCTGTGAAGGATAGAAATGCAAAAGGCTAAGGGCAATAAACCACAGGAGGTTACCCAAATTCCATTCTGTATAATTAGTGGCCATAGACCAAGGCTTTAATTTTTTTTATGTGAAAGTTATTTTTGTTGTAATAATACTGATCTTGGTAGTAGCTGACCTTACGGACAATGAAGAACGGATGTAAACTTAGGAGACTTCTGCACACAAATACTAAGTCTGAATTCCCCAAGTGTAGCTATTAGAGAGGAAAAAAAAAAAAAAGTACCAAAACCAAATGGCAGGTTCAAAATGTGGCAGCAAGACTATTTCCTATTTCTAGACTGAAGTCAAATAGAGGAATACTGGAGAATGAGACCAAATATAGGGACAACGAATCAGTACAGAGCAAGGTCTGAAGAAATCAAGCGCCAATCACATTCAGCAAGCAAGGTATTTTAAAGTAAACTGAAGCACCGGTGCTTAATACAATGGAAAACCTCAGGATCTGCTGCCATCTGTCTGACATTCCACAGCCAAGCAGTGAGGCCCAGGTCGGATGCAGCCCCTAGTGAGGATCAGGGCCCATTGCTTATGCTTCAGCAACCAAAGTGTGAGAGGGATGTTGGACTCAATGAAGTCTGCTTCTTTCTTGGTAACTTTTACGTAAAATCATTTTTGGAAACTAAAGGAAAGGAGGAGGAGGAAAATAAGATCATTCTCCAGTACCTATGTGCTAGAGCCCACCTTGTTTATTGTAAACCCATCTCATTTATCCCCCACAACTTTCCAGCCTCACGCACAAGAGAAAGCAAGACTTGGGAACAAACAGGTAACTTGCCCATGCTCTTAGAGGTAAATGATAACACCAGAACTGTGATGCCGCCTATAAGCCTGAACAGAGAAATGTACATTTTCCCAGTAGTATCTCAAAGGTTCATTGCAACAATGAAGATATAACTTACAAAATTGGCAGCATCCATGATTCCATCTTCTACAGGGTGGGTGCAGTCAAGTGTGAACTTCAATACTTGCTTCTTTTTTTTGCCCCCCTTGGCCACAAGCTTTTTCTAAGAAAGTATACAAACGATAAGAGATGAAGGCTCAACCAGTTCGAAAAAAAATTTAGCACCAAAAATGTCAGAAGTGCAAAAGCCCGTACTATATTTGGAGTTGGGTTCCCTTGCATGAGCACCAAATGCTGTACTCTGCCCAAGAGTGGCACGGGGATAATACGGAAGATATTGCTCTACATCTTAGGAGCCTGAGTGTCATGCCCATTTGATGGAGAAATCATTCTAGCACTCTTGACCCATTCAAGCTTTCCAGCCTCCCCAAGCTCTAAAGGTATGAAGGTCAGTCAGTTTATGAATCACAATAAAATGAACAACTCCTTCCATTTGCGCTGAGATGTCCAAACGGTTTCAGGAAATATTCCTTATACAAATAACTTGCATACCTAAAACAACTTTAATATGAAATCAATCCTTGTTCTATGTCTCCAGACTAGGGTCCCGATCCACTTTATCTCTTCTCCCTTAATTGTGTCTCACCTACCTTCTCAGGAACAGCGGAGGGAACTGCACAGTACTCTTAACTGCTTGTCCACTCTGGTTTGGACAACATTAAGGATCAAAACCTACGATCTTATTACAACACTACTGTCAACAATTTCTGGCCTTTTGACTGGTTTAATCCATTAATGAGTACTTCCAAACCACCGGTAAAAGCACATCCTATGAGGCTCCAGCTTCTTTACTCTTATAAAGCTTAATCTTATCCCTCTACAAACTCAGACATCATTAAAAACGCATCTGTACAACCTCCTTATCTGTACTTCCACTTTAAAAGGCTCTGCAGAATCTAAATACACCTTTCCAAGAATACGTCTTAACTCCCTTTCCTTTATGTTTGAAACAACTGCATCTAGGCCTTTCTATTAACTGGGTCAACTTTTCAAACATATTGCTACAACAAAAACCACTGATTTTTTTTTCCAACAACGTCTCTTCCCAGTGTCAGTCAAGAGGGCTGCTTTAAGATCTAACGCCAGAAAGACACAAGCAGCAGGCAAAAGACCTACGCACGATGGACTTGCTGCCTCCCATCGAGGTTTTAAACCAAAAGCAGACAAATATATGAAAGCATTTAAAAGCTCACCGGGCAGAAAGAGTAAGAGAAGCGGAAATGTTAACCACGGAGTGCCAACAAACGAGTAAAAGCAGGATCTTGGGGCGAAGAACATGGAAAAACAACTTTTTCGAAGTAACCTGGGAGGGCGCAGCCCTGCCCAGCCGACCCTGGCTAGAGGAGGATGGAGCTGGGCCTGGGCCCTACACCAGAAAGGATCTGTGGCAGCGCCCTGTGGCAGCACCCAGATAAACCAGCCTCCACTCTGAAAACAAACCGGCCAGGCCACCCTTCCAAGGACTATTTCCACTCGTCCCCGAGTCCTGCCCATGGGCGTCCCCAGTGCGCGACTCCCCAAGGTGGCAGGTCCCCTTCTGCTTCCCCGTTCTCCGCCCAGGTAAGCAGGCCGAGGGGCCGTGCTCCAAGCGCCAGTGACCGGCCCAGCCTGCAACCCCCCACGCCCCGGCTCCCCGGTGACCGCAGGCAGGGGACCGAGCCCGACCCGCGGGCTCTGAGAGCTCCCGGATCTCCGCGCGGGCCTCGGGCCGCGGCCTCCTCCTCCCACAACGTGCTGGGGCCGGCAGCGGCCCTGGCCTGCTCCGGCCAGCC